ACCACGCCCAGCTAATTTTTTTACATTTTTAGTAGGGACAGGTCTTGGCTAAGCTTGTCTTGAACTCCTGACATTGTGATCCACCTGCCTCGGCCTCCCAAAATGCTGGGATTACAGGCGTGAGAAACCGTGCCCAGCCTAGTTTATTTTTCTATGTACACCTATAGACAGATGCCCAGGCTGTGTCCCCACCATGGTGTGATTCTAGGCATGCCCTGGGAGGCCCAGAATCTAAGATGTCTGAGCTGATGTCACTGGTGGGGAAATGCTTAGAAAGAAAGAGCAATCCTGAGTTGGCTTCAAGGTACAGATTTGCTCCCACATTTCTCTTTTATTTTCCTTTGGTGTCTGTTCCCTCTGCGTTTATGTTTATGCTCAGCAGTGGAGATATAAGATAAAGAAGATCCTGTCTGTCCTGAGAGACTCACAGTCTGGCAGAACTTCCTACCCCACTAGTAGGAAGCCTCTTAGAGGTCCCTGGATTCCTGCTCTTCTCTATTGCTCTCCTAAATTGTGAGGTTAAAGACCATTTTAAGAATCTTATGAAGTTATGGATTCTCTCCCCTTCCTCCAAATGCAGACATATTCAATATTTTGCATAAAACTCCCAGGGGTTTACAGACCCGGTGAAGCCCATCCACAAAATCCACAAGCTCCATTACAAAAAAAAAAAAAAAAAAAAAACCAACAAGGATGAGAAGGGGGAAGAAACTTAAAATGGAATACAAATAGAAACCAATGCATCCTTCTGTAGCTCATCATCTTGACGACTGGGTTTTCAAAACACATGTGAGATGTGCCTCCTGCAAACCCTAAGACATCAGCACGTTACCTGACATGAAAAAAAGAAATGAACTTAGCTCTATTTTAATTAACTCTATTGCAAACAAATAATATTAAGATGCTGAAGGGAGGATAAAACCAAACAAACAAGCCCAACAAATATTTAATTCTAGTTAGAAGGATTTTTTTCTGTAGTGATATGGGTTAGCGGTTCTGAATTACCTTTTGTGTGCTGTAGAGTTGGGCAGATGAGTAAATGTACTGAGAATATTGGAAGCTAGTTCTTGCTGTTGGAGAGAGTTATAAATATGGAGAAAGGGAGGACTAAAATGAATTTTGTGGTGTCGAGTTGGAACTAGAGGTATCTATATGAATCCATGATTTTGTGTGTATGTGTGTGTGCGTGTGTATACAGATGTAGAAATTAAGATACGTATATTTCTTAGCTCTGTAGGCTAAAGGGCTTAGAAGTGGACACTATGGTTGCATTGAGTACACCTGGCACTCGAATCTTGGTTTCTAAATACCATTTTGTACTGAAAAAAAAAAACAAAACTAGGGCTCCTTGGAGAAATGGCTAATTTTAGGGCTGAGAGGGGGAAAGTACAAGATAAGCTTAGAATATCATATTGTGCCAGAAAGCAAGGAAGTGCTTTTTAAAAAATGGAGATATGAAAAAAGAACACAGGAATCAGAAGGGACCCCCATTGGCCAAATCTGGGACTATTTGAACATCAGAATAAATAATGGTAATTCTTTATTATCATTACAGTGGTATTATATGACAATATTACAGTGGTAATATCACTATAGAATAGCCATAGAATAAAATAATCTATGAGTTCATACAAATATAAATAAATGAAGGAGAAAGGATAGCTCTCTCTTATAGTAGAAATGATGAAGTCAGAATATCATCTTTGTGCAACCATGATTTAGACAAGAATTATCAATGGATGCTAAAACTAGTGGGTAGAAGTTTGATAAAGAAGAGTATATGTACAAAGATTCCGAGCACCTCCATGAAAATAACTTGTTGATTACAAAGGGAAAATTAGTAACTCCACGGTGAGTTAATCTGATGAACACAACCATAACCATTTAACCACAGTTAACAATACCAATAAAGAGATGCACTGACCTCACTGCCTTGAAAAGGACTCCGTATCATTTCTATGGTACACCTGCCAAAACTGTATAACCTTAACCTAATTATGAAGCAGCATCAAACAAACCAAACTGAAGGACATACTACCTAACAACTGGCCTGTAATCTAAAAACAAAAAAATCAAATTCATGAAAGGTAAGGGAAGGCTGAGAACCTGATCTAAATGAAAGAAGACTTAAGAGATATGAACAGTAAATGCAAAGTGTGATCATTAATTGGATGCTGGATCAGAAAAAAAAACAGCTATGAAGGACATTATTGGAGCAATTGGTGAAATTTAAATATAAACTATAGCTCAGATAAGCATTTCGTATCAATGTTACAAATTCCCTGATTTCCATACACATGTTGGGGTTACGTAAGAGAAAATCCTGCCTTTTCAGACCGAGTCGCCTTGTTGTTGTCGTGGAGATTTTCCTGCTACTGCTGCTGCCGCTGCCACTACCACTGGGCTCATTTGCCCTGACCCCTTCCCACCGCCCCGCCCCCAGCCCCACACAAGATGTCAGAGGATTTAGCAAAGCAGCTGGCAAGCTACAAAGCTCAGCTCCAGCAAGTTGAAGCTGCATTATCTGGAAATGGAGAAAATGAAGATTTGCTAAACTTGAAGAAAGATTTACAAGAAGTTATAGAACTAACCAAAGACCTTCTGTCAACTCAACCTTCTGAGATGCTTGCAAGTTCAGACAGTTTTGCTTCTACTCAACCTACTCATTCATGGAAAGTAGGAGACAAGTGTATGGCAATCTGGAGTGAAGATGGATAGTGTTATGAAGCGGAGATTGAAGAGATAGATGAAGAAAATGGCACCGCTGCAATCACTTTTGCTGGTTATGGCAATGCTGAAGTGACTTCACTGTTGAACCTCAAGCCTGTAGAAGAAGGAAGGAAGGCAAAGGAGGACAGTGGTAACAAACCCGTGTCAAAAAAAGAAATGATTGCCCAGCAGCATGAATATAAAAAGAAGAAGGCTTTGAAAAAAGCTCAGAGAATGAAAGAACTTGAGCAGGAAAGAGAGGACCAGAAAATGAAATGGCAACAATTCAACAACAGAGCCTATTCCAAAAGCAAAAAAGGCCAGGCAAAGAGGAGTATTTTTGCTTCACCTGAGAGTGTGACTGGCAAAGTTGGAGTAGGAACTTGTGGAATTGCCGATAAACCTATGACACAATATCAAGATACCTCTATATATAATGTCAGGCATTTGATGCCTCAATAATCAGAAAACCTGTTGGATTTCATCTCTGCAGGGCTTTACATTTACCTTTTTATCCTTATATTTTTCTAAAGGTAAATTATTTGTTAGATGGGTACGCAAGATACCATTGTTGTCATTGGTTGACTTCACTAGAATGAAACGTGAAGAAATTGCATTTGATAACTGCTATTTGTTTAACTTTTCTCGTTATCAGTACCACGGTTCCCTCAAAGTTTGTTGAATAAAGCAACTTTTGTAGATGCTGTTTCATACAGCACTTAGATGAATTATTCATCTTCCTAATATCAGGCGCCTACTTAACCTATGGTATGTACTTTTTGTAAGCTGTAACTTGAAATTTTCAGATACTTTGAACTTGACACATACTCTAGCAATTCATTGGAACACCAAGGCAAAAACACCAACCTGCTAAAGAGATCCTTTCATTTTTCTTATTTTCAACTTTAAAACTTGGCTGTTGTTCAGTTAAGCCTAAAGATAGGTTAACTTGTAAATGACAAAGTTTGTTTTGAGGTTTTTCCTCAAAAACTTGTTTCCTAGGCCTATCAGGCCATCTCTAAAATTGATCTGTTTTATTTTTATGTACTCTTAGTTTTATGTAAGAAACCTTAGAATGAGCTCCCTTTTCTAAGGTGTTTTTGTGTTTTGTATGTTTGCTTTTTTCCTGTTTTTTGTTTTTTCATTTACGGCAGTGGTACCATGTTTTGGATGTGTAATGTTTATATGGGAGAACAAACAGCTGCTGTATAGCCCTGTATACAGTGTAGATACTATTTCTGTAAAAACACAAGGCTAAATTAATGAACAAGAGTACTGACTGTTTCGTCATTAAAAAATTCTTGTATTTTTTGTGCATTAATCTGACCATAATTTCCCTGTATATTAAGTTCATTTAGCTGTTTGTAATTTTTGTTAATTAGATCAAGTTGTCTGCATTTGTTGGTGTAAGTGAACATCACAATTATCCTGAGTTGAGTTTAAGCCAGATACATGCATAGAAAAGGGTCTTCCTATTAATGGAAGGAGATAATTTTTAGGATGTGTATTATTTCAGTTTTGTATGTTTAACTTTTATTAAATAAAGTGTTTTTAAAATAAAAAAAATCCTTGGTCTTAGGAAATACTGACATATTTATGGATAAAGGGGGCATAAATAGTTCAGAAAAAAATATGTGTATGCACATATATGGATTGATAGACGATAGATCCAATGGGGCAAAATTATAGCGATTAGTGAATCTGGTAAAGAATACACTATTTCTGCAACTTTTCTGTAAAAGTGTGAAATTATATAAAAATTAAAAAGTAGATAAAAACAGTATTTGCTGTAAGCTGGAACTCTTTTTTTTGGAGGCAGAGTCTTGCTGTGTCATGTATGCTGGAGTGCAGTGGTGCAACCTTGGCTTACTGCAACCTCCCAGGGTCAAGAGATTCTCATGCCTCAGCCTCCTGAGTAGCTGGGACTACAGGCATGTGCCACCACACCTGGTTAATTTTTGTATTTTAGTGGAGAAGGGGTTTTACTATGTTGGCCAGGCTGGTCTCAAACTTCTGACTTCAGGTGATCCGCCCACCTCAGTCTCACAAAGCACTGGGATTATAGGCATAATCGTACTGCGCCCAGCTAAGCTGGAACTCTTACACATTGCTGGAGGAGATACAAATTGCTACGACCTCTTTGGAACTTCGGTAGTATCTTCTAAGGCTAAACACATATATCCCTGTCACCCAGCAAGTTTGCTTTCATATTTAACCAATGGAAAAGGGTGCTTCTTTTCACTAAAGGACAGGTACAAGAATGTTTATAGTAGTAAAAACTGGAAATAGTGAAACACTGGAAGCAACCTGCGATGGTTAATTTTGTGTATACTTGGCTAGGCAATGGTGCCTAGTTGGTTGGCCAAATATTAGTCTGGATGTTATTGTGAAACATTTTGTAGAGGTGATTAACCTTTACAATCAACTAACTTTAGGTAAGGGGAATTATCCATAATGGCCTCATCCAATCTGTTGAAGGCTTTAAAAGCAAAAACTGAGGTTTCCCAGAGAAGAAGGAATTCTGCCTTAAGACCGTGACATAGAAACTCTGCCTGAGTTTCCAGCCTGCTGCTCTACAGAGCAGCAGGACTTTTGTACTTGCCAGTCCCCACATGTAGTCAATTCCTTAAAAATAAATAAATACATAAATAAACCCTCCTCTCTCTCTCTCATACATATATATAATTGGTTATATATAACATATATAATTGGCTCTGTTTCTCTGGAGAACCATGACTAATATACAACCCAAATATGTTTTGGTTGTATGAGAGAGGTAGTCAATGAAAGAATGGATACATAAAATGCATCCATATTATTCAAACTACATAGATTATTCAAACTACCCAGCAATGGAAAAGAACAAATTGCTATACGCACAAACGTAGATGAATCTTACAGACATAATGTTGAGCCAGACACAGAAGAATATATACTGCATGAATTAATTTTTACAAAGTTCAGGAACGAGCAAGACTAATCTGTAATGACAGAAATCAGAATATTGGTTACCTTTGAGGGATGATAGTAACTAGGAGGGCACACAAAGCAGTCTTCTGGGGTTTTGGAACTGCTATGTGTCAGCGTGGTAGTTACGTAGGAGCAAATATATGTCAAATTTCATCCAGCTGTGCGTTTTATGTATTTTTTTTTAAAGAGGTTAAAAAAGAGTACTTATTTTAAATGCTCACTTTCTCCGTCCCCTCTATGGCTAAGCTGTAACCTCTGTACCGTGTATTTCTACATCCATATTGCAGATCCTGAAAATCTACTCAGGCCTTAAATACATGTTCGTAACTCCATTTCTTATTCCTATCCAAAAACTTGTTTTCCTTTTAGAATTTGCAAGCCATCTAAGAATCTTCCTTCTCTGTAACCCCAAGTACATCTGATGGCCAAGTGCAGTTGATCAACTTCCTAAATATCCCTCCACTTTGTCTCTTCCACTCTTTCCTATCACTGCCTTTGTTTAGGCACCATAATTTCTGCTTGAGTTGCATCATCACCTCGGTGACAACACCACCTAAATTAGCGTTTAAATAACTGAGGACTGTAGCTTTGCCATGCTGACACATAAAACTGACCATCACATAGGCCTAGCATCTACTCCAGTGCCCCCATCTGCTCAATCAATGTTTGTGAAATGAAATGGCTCATTTCTAACCCCAGTACCATCATGTTCCAGACAAGTCTTGGTGTCTGACCATGGGAAGCAAGTAGTTATCATGCATCCATTATGAGTAGTGCAGTGCAGAAAGAGGGTGATTCCAGAAATATATGATTCTGGGTTTTAATCTAGAGAGACAAAACACAGTCAGATGAGTACAAGACAACCTACAGGTAAGTTCCCACATGAATGTCTAAACCATCATCAGGTGCTTTTCATCTTCTTGTAACAATTTTTCTCAGCTTCATCTTTGTTTAAACGATGACAGTAGCCCCTCTGCTGGAGTCCCTGTCTCTAGCTCAGGCTCTCCCTGCTCCAGGGTCTCCTGTATCTGGGCTGCTGGTTGAATTGTCCCCAGATATTACTTTAGTCATGTCCCTCCCTGCTCAAGAACCACAAGAGCTCCTCATTAGCTGCCAAGTCAACTCTAAACTCCTCTGCCTAGCTTTCAGGACCTCCATGCTCTGACCCCTCCCAGGGTGATATGACAGCTGTCTTAATATTTTTGAAGGGCTGTCAGAGAGAAGGATTAGTCTGATTTGTGCTGCCCCAGCAAGCAGAAGTATTATCATAGGTGGAAATTACAAGAAAGATTTAAGTGCCTTGAAGTGTAAACATTTTCCTTTCTACTTAGTGTGTGAATGTGGGTGGCAGAGGTGGTGGTGGCAGTGGTGGCAATGTATGGAATACTGTATGTGACTCTGACAGAACTTGTTCTCCACTCACCAGTCTAAGGTTCCACGAAATAACAAAATACTGCACATCCAGTATTTTGATGTATACGTTGTTTTTTTATGTATAATTTTTTTTGTAATTTTCAAGAATGAGATCTCACTGTAACCAATTTCTTTCACATAACAGAATACAGTGTCTATCTTTCCACATCATTAATTTTCTTCCATCACCTCAGTGTAAATGGCCATGCCACATTTCATTGTATGAATGTTTGATAATATCAGTATCTTATTCAGTAAGTCCCCTGTGGCACTTTATTTTTATTTTTATTTTTTGAGACAGAGTCTGATCTGTCACCCAGGCTGGAGTGCAGTGGCACCATCTTGGCCTACTACAACCTCTGCCTCCTAGGTTCGAGTGATTCCTGTGCTTCAGCCTCCCAAGTAGCTGGGACTACAGGTGCATGCCACCACCCTCAGCTAATTTTTGTATATTTAGTAGAGATGGGGTTTCACTATGTTGGCCAGGCTGGTCTCGAACTCCTGGGCTTAAGTGATCTGCCTGCCTCGGCCTCCCAAAGTGCTGGGATTACAGGCTTGAGCCACCATGCCCGGCCCCCTTGGCACCTTTATAATAATTTATTATCAGAAACATTGCTATGGGTAGGTAGACTCTGAATGATCAAAATGAGAGTAGATAGGTTGGTGGAGAGAGAAAGTTCAGAGTGGTGAGACAGCCTGGCACCACCTCCTGACAGGCACTGAAGAGATATGGCCTGACAACCAGGATGCAGGTTAGAGGATAGTGGGGCTGAGACTGTCCCTGAGAACATCTAGGGCTAGGAGGCTTCTTAGAGGTCATCTTGCTTTGCATCCCTCCGGGAGCTTGACTTCACTGTATAGAATCCCTGGCAGGGCTGACCAGCCCCAGGTCCTGTATTTGAGAGCTTGCTGCTGTGCAAGGCTGTCTGTATCATTGCTGCAAAGCTCTGTTAGAAGGTCAAGTTCTCTGGGTAATGGGATTCGAAGTATTTTCTGTTTATCAATGCTTCTTAAATTTTATAAAATTAGCATGATTCAACTTTTATTGGCTTTTACAAAAGTATTTTTTAATTCTGTTCATCAAAGCCACCTTCTTCTCTGTTTACTCTGACCTACACTTATCTTTCCT